ATTCAACAATCATGGTCCTTGCAGCTTCCTTTAATGTTCTATTTCTTCTTTCTGCAACTCCATTTTGTTGAGGGGTTCTGGCTGCAGAGAGTTGATGCATTGTACCATTCTGGTCACAGAAATCCTGTATGACCTTGTTGACGAACTCTGTTCCTCTATCTGATCTGATGGCTTTGACTTTCTGATTTTGCTCATTCTGTAATAGCTTTAGCAGAGATGGCAGTTTCTGCAGAGTTTCATTTTTCTTGGTCAGAAAGATAGTCCATGTGAATCTGGAGTAGTCATCCACCATGACTAAGGTGTATCTTTTGCCACCAACACTTGGAGTTTCCACTGGTCCAAATAAATCCATGTGGATTAGATTCAGAGGACCAGTAGATAGGTTTCCAGCAATGGGTCTGAATGAGTTCTTCACTTGTTTTCCTTTCTGGCATGCACTGCACAAGTTCTCCTTTTTGTATACAAGGTTGGGTAGACCTTCAACAATGTGATCCCTTGCCAGTTTGTTGATTGTTTTGAAATTCAAGTGGCTCAGTTTCTTGTGCCATTCCCAACTGAGTTTTGAATCTCCTTTGGCTATCAGGCAAATTCCATCTTTTGCGGTTGACCAATCAACTACATAGATGTTTTTCTTCCTTGTTGCTGTTAGAACCACTTCTTTAGTTGTCTCATGCTTGACAGAGCATCCTTCTTTGGAGAATTCAACTGTGTAGCCTTTGTCACAGAATTGGCTAGCACTCAGCAAGTTGAATTTCAGTCCTTTGACATTGGAGACATCATCTATGATTATCTGGTTCTTTATCAGCTTCCCTCTTCCTTTTGTCTGGCCATCTTTATCATTACCTCCAAAGGTAACTCTAGGCCTTTTGACTTTCTGGAACTCTGTTAGGCAACTCTTGTCACCTGTCATGTGCCTGGAGCATCCACTATCAATGTACCAATCTTGCTCAGAGATGGCTCCAGCACACAGTTCCTACAAAATTAAAAGGAAGATTTAGGTACCCAAGCTATGTTGGGTCCTAGGGGGTTATGCAGTCTTGGCAGCCGGTACCACTTTGGTCTCATCAAGTGAAACCTTGGTGGGTGGTACCCATTGTCCACCTGGTAGTCATAGTAAACGGAAGTGTGATTCACTTTGGGCAGATGCTTGTGAGGATCATGCTTCCGGTTTACATACTTCTGCATAGCCTTTTTAGTTGGGTAGAAGTCCCATATACTATCAAGATCAGAGGGGCGATTAACTTTGGGCTTCTTAAGTTGACCAGCCAACCTTTTCTGCCTAAAGTTAACTTTCTCTTGATATCTGCCTTTCTGGTGATCATTTCTGACATGATTATCATGAGTTTGTCTGTTATGGTTTTGTCTTTGATTTTTGGTATTCTGAAAATCTTTCCTGTTGTTAGGTCTTCTGCCAGGTTCATTAACTTTTAAAATGGGTTTCTGTTGAACCTTTATCTTTTCCTTTTATGGTCTGACATTCTCATGAATAACCTTGGTGCCAGATACACCAGCCTGACAAATGGGGCTAGAAATCAGTGGCACTATGACCTTGTCTGCCTTAGCAACTCTGGTGCTAGGCATTACAGAAGGCTCACCTGATTCTGTTGAGCCATAACCAAGATCAAAACCAGTGCCAATTTGTTGGTCAAGTACAATCTTTTCCATGGAAGACTGGGCCTTCTGGTAAGCTTTGTACTTAATCTCAAGAGGCTCTATCTCTCTTATTCTCTTTAGAAGAGAGACATTTTCAGCTTCCAGTTGATCTCTTTCCTTAATTAGAAGATTGATTTTGATCTCAACCTCCTTTCTTAAGTCAAGGATTTCAACCTTAAGCTTACTGATTTCTTCTTTAACAGAAGAATAAGTGGTTTGTATGGCTTGAAACTCTTCCCAAAATTCTGATATTGAATCAGAATCAAAGGCTCTGCCTACCGAAGAAAAACTAGAGTTGGAAGTAGAAGATACCTCATCATCAGATTGACCCATAAGGCATAGGTCTTCAGTTTCTGTGTCCAGGCAACAGAATGCTTCATCAGATTCTGATTCCGAGCTGGACTCTGTCTCAGAGAGGGGGTCCTTCTCTTGTTGTTCAGTGATGAGTGCTTTCCTTCTTCGGTGCTCGTATTTCTTTTCTCCTTCCTGGCCTTGCCTTTTGGAGACTATGGGGTGTGGACAATTGACTTTGAAGTGCCCTGGTTGTCTGCAGTTGTAGCAGAGAAGCTCTCCACTACTTTCTGATGGTTTGGACTTCTGGTGTGGCTTTCTGCTAGAGTGTGGACTTCTGCTATCCTTCGGCTTTAAGAATTTCCTGAACTTCCTAGCAAAAGCCGCCATATACTCGTCAGTTAAAAGAATAGAAGGGTTAAAATTATTTACCTGAGAGGTGCTGGCAGTGAGGGCAGTAGTTGTTCTGTCCTCAACTTCTTCTTTCTCCTCTTCATTCATCTCAAACTCATAGGATTTGAGATCAGAGATGAGTTTCTCAGTGCTGTAGGTTCTGAGATCCTTGCTATCTCTCATGGCAGTGACCTTCATCTTCCATGGTGAAGGTAGACCTCTGAGAACCTTCAAGTTGATCTCTTTGGGAGTAAGTTCCTTCCCAAGTTCTTATATCTCAGCAGTGAGGGTGAGCAAGCGTGCATACATCTCAGTTATGCATTCTTTAGGTAGAAGTTTGAAGTCTTCAAACTTCTTCATGGCAATAGTGAGTTTGTTGTCCTTTTCTTGCTCATCTCCAGCTCTTATCAGGGTGAGAGTATCCCAGATTTCCTTGGCAGATTTGCACTTCTTGATCCTTGTGAAGTACTTGTCATCAATGGCCTTGTAGAGGATATCCTTGGCAATGTTGTCAAGGTTGTACTTTCTCCTTTCTTCATTAGACCATTCATGGCGCAGTTTGGTGATCATCTGGGGTTGACCACTACCAGTGATGTATTCAGGGTTGACCTTGGTGAACTCTGTGAAAGGTCCTGCATCAAGAACTTCCCACATTTCGTCATGGAGTGCGCAGAGGTGAGCTTTCATGCGGATCCTCCAGTCATCAAACTTTGTTACTGAGAACATAAGATTCTTTGAAAGAGTGTTATCCATAATATGAGATTAAAGAGGTTAAAACAAGTGGATCTCTTGTTTAGTAAGTAACCTAAAAGATTACAAGAACAAGGAGGCTCTGATACCACTTGTTGGTCCCGTTGTAATGGAAACAGTCTAGAGGGGGGGGGGGGGGGGGGGTGAATAGACTGTTTTAGGAATTTAAACTTTTCTCCAAGTCAAGTCTGACTTCACAGAGATGGTCCAAATCTGGTGACAGAGATGGTCAAGTTCTGATGGCAGAACTAGACCAGGCAGTGGATAAGTTTCTGTCCGGGTAGCCTCTAGAAGAAAGCTAAGGCAAGGTGCCTTTCTGATAACTCTGAAGGAAGATCTGCTGGACACAGAGTCCAACCTTAAGAGTTAGTCAGTAGAATCTTAAGTGCAGGAATTAAAAGCTTAAAGTAAATGACACCGGGGTTTTTATAGTGGTTCAAGGAACAACTTGTTCCTCTAGTCCACTGTTCCACTAAGGTTGCAAAAACAACAGTTTACAACGCCTTAGTCCCTAGAGCATAAGAATCACTCCTCGTCTTCTTCAAGTCTAGTTGCCACCCGGGATGCAGTCCTGCTTCCTGATGGCTGATCTTGTTTCACTGAGTCTCTTGAAGTATCCCCACTTCACTTACTCCAGCTAGTTTGAGACGTCCCTTCTTTTTCAAGAAGTCTTTGATATAAAATCAGTTTTCTCCAACGTTGCTTCTTCACAAAGGATAGGTATATGAAGCTTTCGAAGTGTTGAAGAACTGAGTAACTTTGCAGTTTGCTAGTTGGATAAAGGATAGGAAAGTATATCTTCCAACTGGAGCCTTTTCTTGTCTGAGAATGAAGTTTTAATCTCAAGAAGGTTGTTTACGCAAATTTATCTTGGCAAAGTTTTTTTTCTTAGTTCTTCAGAGTGTATCTTTTATACTGGGAGCAGTCTTCCCGTTGGAGTGTAGAAGACAACTTCATTAAATGCATGTACTGTTGACTTGACCGTTTGGTCCTCCGACTTGCTATTTTGGGGGCGTAAAGATACTCGCATGGTCAATCATCAGTTTTAAATATCTCTTCGTACGTACAGCATTAAATGTGCATTTAATGCGTGTACAGTGCCATGCTTCCGTTGAAAGGTTTGTATCCGTTAGGGGATTTCCCGTTAGTTTAACGACCGTTGGAAGGGCTTCCGGAATCTGGTGGATTTAGCAGAGTCTGAAGAGGTTCTCTGGTCCAATCTCTGAAGTCCGTCTCTGTTGCCAACTCTGGTATCTTCCTGATAACCAGTTTCTGATGGCTTCTCTGGTGAGCAACTCTGGGAGCAACTCTGGTAGAGGCAAGATGGAACTCTGGCAGGCAGACTAAGCTAAAACTTACAAAAGAAATTCTAATACACAATTTCTAATGGGGTATTTTCAAATTCTAATAAACCTAGCATCATCAAAATCTAAATACATTTATTCCTTACATTAACTCGCTTATAAAAAGATGTAACTTGCTTATAAAAAGATGTAACTTGCTTATAAAAAGATGTAACTTGCTCATAAAAAGATGTAACTCAATGTATTATCAAATGTAACTGAGGCCACTGATCCACTCCCAAATAGATTCGATCTTCTATTTCACAAACCTATAATCTCCCAAACAGATTTAATTTTCCTTATAATCCAATACTCATTAATATAATAGTTCGATAATTTCTTAAAATTACATAAGCAATATTGGTCTCATTCGAAAGATCATGAAAAATAAAAAATGTTGATATAAATTTTATAAAAATCGGATCAAAAATAAAAAACTTATAATCATTTTTTAACAACAAAAACAAAAAAAGGGGCAAGCTAAGCTGCGTAGTTTTGCAACGGGGCGTACTATTCTGATGGTGCGCCGATTGCACGGTATAATTTACCCTTGTCTTGACATATCCAGACTGACTTTTTCAATCAATGGCGCTTCCATCCGGGTTTGGCGAGAGACTCGAACAAATGGAGGAGACCAGAAACCAACGCCTCTCCCTCCTTCAGGTCGCTCTTTTAAAAAAATTAGGCATCTAGAAATTATTGCGAACTTTGAATCGGTGATTAGTGATCATACAGGCAGAGAAAGAGTTACAGACCACCAAGTCCGAGTTATTCGCCGCAAAGCTCTCGGACATCAAATTCGCAGAACGGCGCTACTTTAATCTCGAGCGTAAAATTGTTTCTCAGCAATTGTTTATATTTTTTCTCAAATCCGAAAACGATCGTCTAGACACCGATTATCTCCGCTCTCTTCAGGATGTCAGGCATGAATATCAGCACTTTCTCTAGCATTCTAATTTTATTAGTTCATGTAATTGATTAGATTAACTATATGCTTATGAGGCTGAACTATGTACTTCTTATCTAATCAAATTATACTTCTTTTTTTCATTTGATAATTGCTCTGCAATTCGTTTTCCAAACCAAAAAAAGAAACTGTATGTAGCGGTTACCGCAATTATGCATCCTGAAATGGCTATTATATACTCCTCCTTGGCTCCTTTCCACATTTTGTGAGCTATGATTTGATTTCACCATTTTCTTTTTATCATTTCACCCCTCACTTTTACTTTTTGTGACCCGTCCTACTTTTTTACTTTTTGCAAGGATGTCAATGACTGAAAATTATAAAATGATCATTTTATCCTTTATTTTCATTTTGTTAAAACCCGCAATAAGCCCGCTTATATGGACGGAGGTAGTATGTGTCATGGTCAATTGGTCATGTTAGTTATAGACTTATAGTCATCATTTTTTCTTTCACCTACTAGACACACTTTTATCTAAAACTGTTATTCTACGTATCTTATATCAAAATGTGTAGTGCGTAGTATATCACTATTGGCAGGTAAAAAACAATTTATTTGAAGGTCAATTCATTGTGCAAATAAAGTGAAACTCCACGTTCATATTTTAAACACGCATTTATCTTCAATCCTTCATCTCACTTGGTCATTGTATATGTGATGTGTGCAACGTGGGAGTATGGTAGAGGAAGAATTGCATATCAATGGGTATTGGTTTTTAGGTTATTTTTAATGATCAGATATTTGAAGAATGAGGTGGAGGATCTCAGGGAACTTGAGAAAGAAAAGGAAAAATATTACACTTCCGAAAACGGGGAGATGAATGAATTCATGGAGCATTTGGAAAACTTTGTGGTTGAATTGCAAGTGCAAGTAGAGGAGCTGAGAAGTTACACCAATCAGGTCACTATGTTCTGCTTCATGCCCTATATCTGTTTACCTCATTTTATCAATGTAACTCTCTTGTTGAACAATGGTTATGCATTCAGTAATTCTTGATGTCTGTTTTCTTTGTCATGTTTGGATAGGAATTGATTAGAAACTGGACTAATACATTGTAAAATTGTATTTCGTATTGTATATTTTAATGTTTGTTTCAGGTTAATTTTAACCCCATCATAAACCCTTGCTTAGACAAAAACAACTTGACTGGCATGATCTTTGTATATGGTGGTCATGGCATTTTATTGACAAGATATATCTGTCATTCTCATGGAACTTTTATTATGTAAAAGTACATAAATTATATTATGAGAATACTAAGGCTATGTTTGGCAATGAGCTGTAGCTGGAGGCTAATGTCTGAATTAAAGACTATTGTCTGGATCATAAACTATTGTTGGGGCTGAATTTTGAAGTGCTGAATTTGAATTGCTAGCTGAATAAAGTAGATTCGTTTGGCATAAAGAATTGAAAGAGTGCCGGGTTACTATGATTCACAATGATTCTAATTTATTATGAGAATAAATATTATCACAATGATTTTTTTATTTTAATTAATATTCAGATTGTAGTTTATCACGAAACATATTCTATATATCCTCCAAAAACCCATCCAGAAATACACAAAATTTTATACGAGTGACATTAGAAAATTCAAGAACTAGTGTTTAATTTGTTTGCAACTATGGTTCCTTTTCTTTATGCATTTGCAGAAAAAACTACGGGACACACCCACCATATGAAGGGCAGTGGGCAACTGCTCCACAATTGCAGCACCTTCCAATTCTTCTTCATAAATTCATACTAGTCCTTCCTTTTCTTTATCATTTCTTTTACCTTTTTCTTTCTCTTGCTGCGCAACTGTCAAACTACCACACTCGTGCTCTGCAAACATTTTTTACTGCAAGCATAATTTAATCGAACTGAACTGGAACGCTAGCTTTGCCAACATTTTAATTCAGTCACTTTTTTTCAAGTTCAGCTCCCTTTAGCCTTTCATTCAAACACAACTATTTCTATAATTATTGGCTGAATTTAGAAAAATCCAGCTCATTATGAGCTGAAATGGCTTGACAAACATAGCTATTGTTCAAAAAGTCTCTAAAAGCTTCTAGTTATATGTTTGACATGACACTTTTTAAGAACTTTTCAAAAATTAAAAGATCTTTTTTGAGATGCTATAGGGAGTAGCATCTGAAAAAAGCCCATGACTTTTAGTATAAATTAGTCCTAACAGCTTGTATACCAAACCGAACTAAATCAATCAGTTAGCTTTTTACCAAACAGTTACCACCTTTTCTCTTTAAGATCTTTTCGGTCACTAAAAACTAACGGTTATTAAAAAAGCTCACAAAAGTATTTTTTCAGCTAGTTGTGCCAAACATACCCTAAGACCTACTTAAAGTTAACTGTCCAACCGGTGCTGGGCCCCCTCACAGATGGGGTGTCATCTTTTTTTGTGAATGGAAAGTTTCACATAGCTCTAGTCTACCAAAGTTATAACAAGTTGATGTGGAATGTCTTGATTTTATGCAAGGGACATTTAATTTAAAAAATACTTCGTAATAGATTTGCTTAGGCTATAGTTGGGCTAAAATGAAAACAGCATTGCAACCATTAAAAAGTCGCAGGGACCCAAACATTAAGTGCTATATTTGATGGGGCTAAAACATATTTAAGCCTGCGTATTTGTAATGATGCAAAATCCGGTAGTTGGCTTAAGAATAGTGATAAGCTGTTTATTAAAGCTGTCTAACAAATGATGGGTGAAGAGAGTAAAATAGCCACTAGGTAAAGGTCTTAAAGAGTTGCTTTCAGAATTTTAAAGCTTTGCCCACTTTTCTATTCTCCCAAAAAACATTGACACTTTTCTTCAGAGAAAAGAAATTTGTGGTTCACAGTTTGTGTTTTTCCCCTAAACAAATGTCAATCAAGCAGGTATAACTTATGTAGTCCATGTGCTAGTCAATGGTGACAGGCCTTTAAGAATATGTTTTGTTCAAAAGAGGTGATGGGAGAGCAGAGGTTTTATGTTACCTTATTTGATTTAGTTGGTTGGGAGGGGAGGACGAATGAGTAAAATTTAGTCTTACTCTCCAAAAAAATTGGAGGGAAGGAAAATTGAATAGAGGGTGATTCTGGGTATGTTTGCTTCTGGAGAGAAAAGGGGCGGGTAAATCAGTTGGTAAACTTCGCTTGCAGTAGTTGTTTTATTATGACTTAAATATGCATTCCTTATTAGATCAAAATTGGTTAATAAGCTTCTCTTGTGTTCTTGTTTAGTACTCCGTATATTCATACAAATAACAGTCTATAATCATGGAACCATGTTTCAGCTGAAGTCAACTTTTTCTGAATTGCAAGGCAACTTTAATCATTCAAATAACTCTGTGATTGCGGCTGCCGAGAGGCGAAAGTCAGAGCTCCTGGCTGTCAAACAGAATCTGGAGACAGATCTGTCTGTGAAGCACCAATTAAGAGAGCAATTGAGAAGGCAACTTGTAAATCTGTTGATCAACCAGAAGCCCGCATAGAAGCAATAGTTTCATGTGTATAGGAAAGCCCGTACACTTCCTGATGTCCAATTGTAACATGCCGATTTCTTTGGTACACAGACTTCATCACCGTGCATTTGGTAAGGATCCCATATTGACCATCTTAAGTTTTAATGGTACAAGTGGAGAGATCAACGGGGTTTAGGCTGTCTGCAGCGCATGGGATGAAAACCCAAATTTGTGGTATTCATCCCAAGTATGCTCCAACCCAAGCCATAAATTATACTCCCTCCGTCTCATTAAATTCTTCCCGGTTTGATTTGGATCGAAATTTAAAAAAGTGAGAATAAAGTGGAAATGTATAGTTGTGATTGATTAAAACAATGTAAATAAATGTTAGCCATACAAAACTTTTCAAAAAAAGAAATGGGAATAATTTTTTAGAAAATCCCAAAATAGTAAGTGAGAAGAATTTTAAAAGGTGGATGGAGTATAAGAATGTTTTTAGTGAATTGGGGGGAACCCTCAGATGGGGAAGCTATACCCCTTAACACCTGGAGAGAGAGAGAGAGAGGGGAACAGACATAGGCCAACTTAAAACAAAATCCTAATTTTTGTTAAAGTGTTATTCCCTCCATTGCATAAGATTGTCTCATTTTCCCTTTTTTGCCTCGTTTCACTAAAATTGTCTCATACCAAATTAATTCAAGTTTGTGTGTTTTTAAATTATTCTTAGTTTATTCTTAGTTTATTAATTTGAATTTCAACCATATAATTATATTGTTCTTAATAACCGCATCACCTAATGATGTTTTAATGTACTACCTCCGTCTCATAAAATTCTTCCCACTTTGACTTGGCACGGAGATTAAGAAAGTGGAATAAAATAGAAATGTATGGTTGTGGTTGTGTAAGAAAAAGTTGAAATGAATGTGAACCACACAAATTGTCCAAAAATGGTAAGTGGGAAGAATTTTTTGGGACGGGCCAAAAAGGAAAGTGGGAAGAATTTTATGGGACGGAGGGAGTATAATTTTTTATTTGATCTCCACTTTTTACAAAAAACATAAAAAATTCATAATTTTGTATGATCATTCATATGATATCCATATTGCATGTATATGTTATTTTTTAAATATGAAATTTCAACGGATGGAGATTTTTAGATTCAAATTTGTTCCTATATAGATCTAAGTGTTAAAATTTAGCTCTCATGGTTACTTTTTTTACATCTTTTTGTTATTGTTTTTTGAAAAATAGGCTTGAAGTTGCAATAGAAAATTAATCTCCGAATTTATTTATTTTTACATCGGCATGTTTGATACTTTGATTTTTTAAATTATAATTATTTACGACAAATTGCAAAAATTAATGTATAATAATAAAGAGGTGGACACCCTTTGTTTAACACATTACTTTGTAGTCCACAAGTTAACGTAGATTCCTGTGGAACACCTCCCACAGTTCATTTACAAGTCAAGGTAGATTCTTGTGGGGCACCTCCCACAGTTAGGGATGGACTCGGGCCGGGTGGCCTGACCCGGAACCAGCCCGGGACCGGTACTGTTCCGGCCCGGCCCGACCCGGTGGCCCGGTCAGTGACCGTTCCGGGTAGGCCCGGCCCGTGGGTTTTCCGGTTCGGGCTCGGGTCACCCAAAACAAGGCCTGACCCGACCGGGTTCGGGCCAAAAACATTTTTTTTTCAATTTTTTTTAAATTTTTGGGTTGGGCTGGGTATTTTGGGCCATTTGGGGTGGTTTGGGGGTTGGGGGTGGGAGGGGGGTTAATTAGGAAGAGGAAAACAAAAAAAAAATTATAATGGGCCCGGCCCGGCCCGGACCCGGACCCGGTGGTTACCCGGGCCGGTCCCGGGTCCACCATTTCTGACCCGCCGGCCCGCCCGGGCCTAGGCCCGACCCGGACCCGGCCCGGACCCGAGTCCATACATACCCACAGTTAATTACGGCATGTGCAGAGCACATTACTAAGCGGCGGGTAAACATGAGGGGCTGCATCACATCGTGGTGCCAACAATTTGGGCAGTTAAACCCTGAATCAAAGGGTGGTGCTGATCTCCTATAAGACAACAACCTTTTCCTCAACTGCGCCAAATTTGACGGCACTAAAATCATTGTTTGCCTCAAAATAAAATCAATACTAGCACTAATATGTAGTATAACGTAGTAAGATTCATATTCACATGAAAATGAATATTTCTCTTTTTTAAAGATTGTTTGAACTTAAGAATAATCAAACACTATGATGAAATGATGAATTGACATATGTGATTTATAGCGGTCGACTCCCTCACGTAGGGTTTGAGAAATACGGCGCCTATTGTGCGTCGTCGTCTTTGGCAGTCAAGTGGAAGCGCCATCGCGCGTCAAAGGCGCTGCTCTTCCCTCGCCGTAGTGTGTTCTAGGGTTGGGTTAAGGCATCAGTTCGTCCGCAACAGTTCGTCTACGTCTGGTTTAGCTTTCGGCCAAGAAGGAAAGAAGGGGAGGGCTCACAATAGTCGATGACTAAAAATGGAAATAATGAGATCATTCATTAACAACTCTTATTATTAGTCAAGTATAGACTACCGTCATACACTAACTTGATAGTAATATTTAATCTCTTAACTCCTTAATGAAATCAATTGAGATTGATAATCTCAACTAGGGATGGACTCGGGTCCGGGTTGGGGCTAGGCCCGGGCGGGCCGGCGGTTCAGAAATGGTGGACCCGGGACCGGCCTGGGTAACCACCGGGTCCGGTCCGGGCCGGGCCCATTATCATTTTCTTTGTTTTCCTCTTCCTAATTAACTCCCCTCCCACCCCCAACCCCCCAAACCACCCCAAATGACCCAAAATACCCAGCCCAACCCGAAAATTTAAAAAAATTGAAAAAAAAAATAGTTTTTGGCCCGAATCGGGCCCGGACGGGTCAGGTCTTGTTTTGGGTGACCCGAGCCCGGACCGGAAAACCCACGGGCCGGGCCTACCCGGACCGGTCACTGACCAGGCCACCGGGTCGGGCCGGGCCGGAACAGTTACTGGTCCCGGGCCGGTTCCCGGTCGGGCCACCCGGCCTGAGTCCATCCCTAATCTCAACACAACGGTTTCGATTTAACCAGCAAAGGTAATCTCTCTTAAGATTATTATTTTTTTGACATGAAACTAACATATTATATTAAAATCAAACTCGCAGTACAATAAGGTAAAATGCAAACAATCAAGTAAACCGCTCTATCCCAAAATGACCAAGAGCCCAACAGCCCCCTCACTTCTAGATCAGACATAGAATAATCCACCCCGAAAGGAGTGAGACTAATCGCTGAAAATGTGAGAGCTTCGAGGCTATTAGCGGCTGAATCAGCCTGATTGCCTCCAAAAAGTAATCTATCAATTAAAACAAAACAAAGCATCATTCTACCCCCTTATTGTTTATCCTAAAAGGGCAAAATAGAAATAGTAAAATAGTCTGAACTGAAAATAAAAAACTAGAAATAGTAAAGCAGCCTTCCAAACCCTAGTCGCATAGTTCATCCATGGCGGAGGTTCAGGAGGGGGACGGGTTTTCATCCCTTCATCTTCTTCCTTCATCACTTCGATCTGCCCGTGAATTGCCTCCTTCTCTTGATCAAGATACTGCATGAACACAACCGATCCGAGAGCGAGTAGTCTCCACATCCCCGCTGCCAATATGCGAAGCTAATTGAATCTCTACTATTCAATCCCAATCGGAGGTAGATGCCTTCGTTCCGTCTAATTTGGTGCTTGCTGCTGGAAGTCTAAAAATTAAACTCACGTCGCCGGAAATCCCAATGTCGCCGTTCTTCAACGAAGCAATCCTCGATCGATTAAAATCGCCTTGAAAAGAAAACGACCCACTCGAATTTGGATTTAGTCTGCGCTGCTCCAACCTTTCCGACGTCGAAATTGGATTTAGAGAAATCGAATTTGGTTTGCAGAATCCGTCCCTACCTTCCAACGTCGAGCGAAAGTACTCGCCGACCCCAAACTTAACGCAGACGTAGGTCAAACCCTAGTTGCGGCGAGAGCTCGTCGGGTTGTGCAACGGTGTTTTCAAGAAAGTTAAAATATCTCTCTTAAGATTTTTAGCCATGAGACCATACATTAATAATCCGAAATTACTTACTTGTAAACCATCAATGTTTAATTGTCGGTTCATTAATCGTGTCTAGTAGGAATTAATGTCAACATGTTAACCAATCGACACTTAGCAACTCTCCTCAACATTAATATAGAGATAGAAAAGGGGAAGAACTAATATTCAAGGGAAGAAACTAAGTAAACAACTCACAACTTTAACATTCAACAAACTTCAAGAGCAAACCAAGAAAATAGTTTAGCTCGTCATTTGAAGACTAAACATGCTAGAAAATATAAAGAAATAGTTATTCTAAATTGAGTTTAAGTATATGGGAACATGGATTAAATGAGAAGGAAAAGGTTTATTTTTTGGTTTTTGGAGGCGGTAGAGACTAATACCCGACCGAGTATATAGGGTACTCGTTCGAGTATCATTGGCAGTTTCTCGGAAAGTGGCTTTTCAGGACATACCCAATTGGTTATGTTGGCATACCCGATGGGGTATAAGCCATTTCTTCAAATGTATTATGCACGTTAGTTTGTTCTCCAGATTCTGATTTTGACACCGAATCAGCTAAATACCCGATTGGGTATTGCCTATACTTGAACGTGTATATGAACAATTTTTTCAATCTTTGTTTTGTTTTGTCCCTTTGCACTTTCCTTGATATTTTGGAGTCAAATCTTGATCATATGGGTGATCTTGATGTGTTTTCAACACAGAAAAATCCTAATCTAAACAAGTTACATTTATATAGGAAAATAAACTAGGGAAAATAACCCTAAATAGGAGTAAAAAACTTTGCAAAATCCAAAATAGAGTCACTATGTTTTTCTTCCCGAAATAGGAGTCGTTACTGTCATGATTGAAAAATACTGTCATGATTAAAAAATACTGCCATTAATTATAATAAATATTGTCATGTTGGATGCATAGTACTACAACTATTTGGCAGTCATGACTAAAAGATGGCAGTTAATACTGACATCTTAGTCCTATTTCCGGAAGAAAAATACGGTAGTCCTATTTTGGAATTTCAAATTCTATTTAGTCCTATTTTGGGAAATCTCCAAATAAACTAATTCACCAATAGTGTGTAATTTCCACAACAGCAAACAATGAACTAATTAGAAGTGAAATAGTACATAATAAAAATACAACAATATCAAAAATAAGAAAAGACTCATAGCAATTAATCTTTGATGTACTCCCATAGTAATATGGAACTCGGCAATCCTCCCTACACTAGTACAAACACTTTTAATAGAATTCTCATACATATTCATGATGATGTTGGTATTCTTACGTGATATGTCTATTATGGTTAAAGTCTACCAAAGGATGACATCAAGTTACCATATCATAATATTCTTCTAATTCAATGAACACCAAATATAAATATTTGTCCGTGTCGCTACTTATCGACAAGTTGGCTAAAAAGTGAATGAACAAAGTTGTTGAGCGATCAAGCACAAAAATGAATTAATTCTCCAAAATCTTTACACTTTTTTCAGAGCATTTGCTTAACCACTCGCTCTCAAAATTTAATAGTGTGACGCATAAGCTTAATCCCTCAATAGCTAGCAAATTCTCATACAACACCTTAATTCGTAAATAAGGGGATAAGATACTTTTCACCAACTCACTGTTATTTTGTTATGTTGTTTCTCCAAATCTTATTCAAGAAACATGTTAATCACTTTAGGCCTCTCTCCCGAACTTCTCCAGGATTCGATTGGTATGTCATCTGAATCCACTATTTTTTCGCTCCATTTGGAGGTGACAAATAATAAATGGAAAAAACGTTATCAACTAGCATGGCATTTAGAAAATTCTTGAAATAAGGGAAAAACAATGAAATAATGAAATAATATGGTGTATAAAATCACTTAGGCATGTAAAAGTGATTTAGAAACATTAGTTGCTTGTCCCGGTTAAATCTTGTAAGAAACAGTGTAGAGAGGGAGTGAATAGGTTGTACTTGAAATCTATTTTTCTAGTTAACAGAATTTGTCTGTCGATAAAGTTGGGGTTAAATCCTGTAGATTTAGTCCTACATTAGAATGGTTAGTCTGGTCTCGGGT